CTTTCCCTACTACACACCCTGTATTACTTCTCTAGACATGAAGATGGACATATAAATTTCAAAAAACTTACTATATACAACATGATTTAAGCAGAAATCAATGAACATTAAACAATGAAAACTCCTTCATTTATTGGTTTACATAGTTGGCTAAAAAAGATAGCATGACATATCTGTGTAAGCCTACTCAGTAATCTCAAAAGCAATTTAGAATTATGGACCAGGAAAGTGAGAAATACATCCAAATAAACCATGTTAAAAGAAAGAAACCAAATTCCCAGCTAGGGAAAGCTATCCCATAAACAATTAACTTGAGGTGATTGAACATGGAAGCACCCTTCAAGGCTAAGTCAGATTGTGGATACCAGCATCCTCTGTTGAGTCAATCTATAATTATCTCAACAACCCATAACAGCACAATTATACACGAACACCCCAAGATGCTCCTTCACACCAAGTACCTGCCAATCTATGATGCCATTCCTGATCCCTGACTTAGGACACCATGAACTCAGCACAATAGCTTCACCTTCTGGACCCCTTTGTCCACCCACAACCAAAAGCTGCTCTCCACAAGCCTTGAAAGCCAACCCCCAACCATTAGAAGAATCTGCCCGGACTGGAAGCCTCCCCAATTCATTCCAGCTGTTCCTTTCCTTGTCATATTTCTTCACCATGTTAGTTACATGCTCAACTGCATATAGCTGATTATCCACAACAGCCACAAGCGGAGGTGCATGAACACCCACGTTAACATACGGATACATCCCCTCTATCTTACGCCAATTCCTTGTCTTGAGATCGTATTCCTCTCCGCAAGTCAATGAAACAGTTGTACTCGACATTCCACCAATCACGTAGAATTTGCCATCCATAAAAAAACCAGAGCACAATCTACGCGGCGTGTCCATATTCGGTAAAAGTTCCCACGTACCTGATGAAGAATCATACAACTCAGCTGATTTTAGAACATTTCCATACTTATCACTTCCTCCAGCAACAATAGCAATTGAACCAAGACTACTAGATCCAAACAAACAGCGAGGTTGGTTCATCTCCTGGCACTTCACCCAACCGCGACAAATCATGCTATACTTCCATATGGCAAACTCCATCAATTCCCGACCAAAGACCAACAGTTCGCAGCCAACAGCCAGGGACTCCTTGTCTGCGTGGTTAAAGCACTCATCACAAGGTATCTTAGGTAACGCCATCCACCTGTTTATCTTAGGGTCAAATGCCACCCAACCTCTTGGATCACAAACCATATAAACCAAATGTTCCACAGCCCCCAATTGTACCCTCAACCCATATAGATAGCCACTATTGATCAGTTTATTGAATCTTTTATTAATATACGATAGCGAGGCGTAATCGGATCTACTAACCCAAGCAAGACAATTGAGGGCAACATCATCAATAAGGCCAGGGAGAAGCGAATCATTTGGTCCAGGTCCAGGAAAACCATCATTCACTCCTTCCCCACTATCCATTTCCACAAAGTTGTTCACTTTCTTTCCATCCTCCTCCTGCAAAGAACAACCCAAACGCAATTTCTTTGTCATGACAAGGAAACCTCAGCACACCCCAACAAAACCATAGCAGATGGCAGAAGCAAAAACCATTATTATTCCAACAATTCCTTCAATTCATGTGCCGCCTCTACCCATAAAAACAAATTCATCACACCATCCACATCGACATGCCACCAATCTCTTATCTATTCAATTCTTTTCTTCTATCTATCAGTTAGGAACCCATAATTGACTTATGCATAAAAACCACCCCTCTAGAAATGAAAAACCATAATTTCCGATGAAAATAGAGAAAGAGAAACGCGAGTGCAATACCAAATGAATCACCGACAAGATTTGAAATTGAAACTCTCCCAGCAAATTTCGCTGTCCGATTCGAAGCTACAGGGACAACACAACCATCTGCAAAATTCAGGAGAATAGGAAATGATTGAAACGGTAAAAGCACGCTGAAAAAATAAATTTTGAGCAAAAGGGTTGGGTGTGATCCAATTGAAACGAGATTCGGATCCAAAAAAAAAAAAAGTTTTTATTTTACAAAAAGGAAATGATTGATGGGTTGTAAAGGGGAAATAAAAATGCGGAAGAGGGGTACCTGAAAGTGGATCTCAGAAATGGAGGAATTGATGAACATATTGGCAGAAAGAGAGTGAAACACAACACAACACAACACAAAGTGGGCTTAGATAACTTGTAACTTTGGACACGGAAGTACTATGTCTATGTGCGAGTTACGAGCTATGGCTTATAAATAAATATAATAATTCCAACACTTTGCTCTTCTAACCCCACTTTTTAATCTATTTCATTTTGTCCTCTATTTTTTCTTTTTTTATTTCTCTTCTCACCCTTTCTTCTGTCAGTTTTTCTTTTGCTCTAATCACAATAATCAATTCCCAATTTATTAGTTTTGCGTGTAAACTGTTCAAGCATTTCAATTTTAGTAACTTATCCTTCCTTTGGTCGTTAGACGTTAACAAAGACCAAAGTTTTTACTCACGCGTGTACAACTTGTTCACATACTTTTACTTCTTTTTTTAATAAGAATTTATATCTTGGAAAATTCTAATGTTAATTTGTTTAAATCTTTCAAGGATTAAGTAGTTCAAATACATATATAATAAGTGAAAATATATTAATTAATTCATTATAACATGAGCTAATTCCCCTTTAATTCATTAAAATATTTTTAAAAGTATAACTTGATAAAAATATTTTTTTTACATAAATAATGAGTATAACGTAGAAGTAACTCTTAAAAGAGTTGTTTTATTTATTTTCTTATTATAAAAAAAACATATATTAAATTTTAATAATCTAACAATTGAATAAGTTAATATTATGTTTTAATGATTAGAAATTTTGGAATATATTTTTTTATTTATATGTCATTTAAAATTTGAATATAACATTAATTATTCTTTTATTAATTACGATATTTTTATGTTTATCTAATTTTTTATTCATTTATACATTTATCATAAAAGTGAAAATGAAAATAGCTGATATACATTTATTGTGAAGTTGAAATTAGAAAAAAAAAAAAGTAAAATTGAAAACATCATAACTATTTTACAGAATTCAAGAAAACTTATTATATTTCTTGACCTTTACATATAGATAACAATAAACAGAAGTACAATCTAATCCGTCATACACACTAAATTTTAGATAAATTAGATATTTATAATCAAGTAATTTTATAGTTGACATTTATATTTTAAGAAAATGTATCAGACATTCAATTAAAATTTATCTAATTAAGTATAAAATAAAATAAAATTTGTATAATAGTTTATAAGAAATAATATTGATCAAGTTAGATAAAATCATTTTGAATAATAAAACTTTTCTCTAAGTATTTCATACAACTAAATACTCAATATTTAAATTTAAGATAATTAATTAAATTAAAACAATCTCATTATAATTAACTTACATAGTTAGTAATATTTGGATCATATAATTATACATAATGGTCAGAATTATAAAGTTATTCAATTGTAAGATAACTACCTAAAAAAATGTGTGCAATTTTCTTTTAATCTAACTATTCATGTATTAATTTTGAGAAATGTTGGAACTATTTATGTATGGTTGTACTTGTATGGTTTAAACAAGAGATGACAAAATCCACTTATTAACAAGGTAAGACTCATTGCAGGCAGGTAGAAACTAAATTGCTTAATGATATTCACTTATTAGCCTGTCGAAGGTGAATAAAGGTATTCATGGGTTACCATAATTTAAAATTACTCAAATGGCTTAGAGGATAAGCTACGGTAATTTATTTTTATAATTATATATTTAAAATTGTTTAAATTTTAGTATAAATATATTTTGAATATTATTTTTAAATAGAAAAAATGAAAATGAAAATTATTTATTTTTAATTTTATTTTATTTACTTTTTCATTGAAAACTTAATTTAGTAAATATAAACATGTAAATATAGATAGATACTCATAAAATTCATGAATATCTAATTAATAAATATTCATGCAAGTATAAGCGTGTTTGAAAAAAATTGTGAAAAATAGATTATTTCAATAATTAATATATATATAATCAATTATTGTTATATGATCTCCTATTAAACTTAAGCATATAAGCAGTTAGTAAGTACTATTACACAACAATAAATACTACAAGTAATGATTTTAATTTTTTAAAGGTTGATAATAGTAATATATATAACAAATTAAAATAAAATTCACTCAATATTCTATAACATAATATCAATTTACAACCTTTTAACGCAATACAATATATTATCAATTTGAACAACACAACATTAACATCTCAATTTACAACATAACAACCCATTTCATTACAAGTCAACATTGCATATGAACAACACAACCTATTCAACATATCATATACACAATACAATAACTATATGTGTCATTGTACATTTCAACTAGGAGATCTCCTACATAAATGAATAACTTAAGTGAGTTGATCCTATCGAATCAACAATCCAGCTAAATCAATAGCCAATTGGGATATCAATCCCTAACAACATGATTTCTTAAATGTTATCACTTAAACTAGGAAGTCTAGTATTCCTATCAAGGTAGAATATCTTAAGTGTAAGTCTATCACAAAATTAGTTAGCATAACTAAGCCACTTATGAAATTAACCTACCGACTACCTTACAAATACTACGCCTTCTAAGTATTTAGTTAGAGATTTTGGTCCCTGACATTATACCTTACTCTAATTTAGTCATCTTATACACATATGTCTTGACCTTATCCACATACGAATCAATATTGGTCGCTTATAGCCAATATGCCTCGATCAGACTCATATACCGCATCAACTAAGGTCCTGGAGGAGATACAACTACCCACTTCAAAGGTCAACTTCCGAAGAAGGGTTTTCAACAAACTAAACTCTCGAAACACCATAACACAATATTCTCACAATAGGATATACAACTTTAAAAAAATTTCTCCTCTAGTCCTAAGTGAATCAACACAATACAACTTTAATGTCAAAGCATTCTGAACCCAACTACTCAACAACATCATACAACTCAGCTCAACTTTCCACCATTGATGGAAGAGCATGGGCTAAAGGCCCAACCACTAGAGCTATGGCCAGGAGGTTACTTGAAGATTTGACTGCTTCAGAGCTTAGTGGGCCCGATGGGCTTGGTGGGCCTAGGGTGCTTCTTACTTGGGCTTAATTAAATATACACCATGTTTAATTGTACTTTCTTAGTTTAGGAATCTATTTTCATGTGGTCTTGTATTTTGACCATAGATTAGGGTTTAGGCTAGTTGGGCCTAGTTTTGGGCTTCATGGGCCTTTGGGCTTTTGGTACCCAATATTGGGCTCATTATTTTCCTTGTAATATTTCCTATTGATTGTATTCATTAGACCATTGTATTTTGGTCATTAGTTTAGGGTTTAAGGAGGTTTAATAGTTCATTTGAATTAGGACAAATTAGGTCAAATTTAGGATGAATTTAAGTTGCATTTAGGTCACACTTTTGGCACCACCTTGGTAGCACAAGTGTGACACCGAAATGCAACCCTAAATTCACTCTAAATTCAACCTAATCTATCATTTAGCACTACATGACCGGTCATGAGCATGTGACACAAGGTTTGAATTCAAATTTGAATTTGAATTCAAACCTTGGCGCCAACATGTGACCAATCATGTGGCGCCAAGTGTGCTCCTCCAATTCGGATGCTATATGTTTCCCTCCTCTCATATTTTGTACTCACTTTTGATCTTATAGAAATTTGTGAGCCTTTGGCCGAGTTTCCTCTCTCAAAAGTCCCCTAGAGTTCATCTTCAAAACCTTAGGATTCCACCTTAGAATCCTCCTCTTTGAAGTGTGCTCTCCATTGATGCTTGAGCTTGGATGCTTCCTTCCTAGTTTAGGTTGAGTTCATCTTGAGTTCGTAGCTTGCAAGGTGTTCATAAGTGAAGAATCAAGTCTCCTTTGAAGAAGATCCGGCCTAAGCAAATTGAGGAGAAGAATCACTTTCACTTCTTCTAGATTTGCTATCAACCATTTAACTAAACAGCATGCAACTCAACTCAACAAAGTCAACTATACAATATCCTAGATCAGTGTATAAAGATTCATCACACCCGATGCCATTTGACCCATGCCCGATGTAAATTAGGTAGAGACCCTTAGGACCTCATGCCTAGTGTAGTAAATACCCACGTCCAACCCCAAACAAGCAAAAGGCTTCGAGTTAATCTGCGCTCGACGTAACTACATTGGTGTTCGATGTGATTCCAACCAAGACAATTCTCTCTTCTCACATCCAACGCTACTCCTTTGGTGCCTAACATTAATTCAGGCATAGTCATTTCTCTCACCTCACGTTCGATGCCATTCAAACCACGTTTGACACTAGTTCAACCCTAGGAAATCCTCTCTTCTTACACCTGATGTCACCAATCTTGTGTCTAGCGTGAGCTAAATAGAATGCCTTTAATTGAACTGCATTTGATGTCAAGCTCAACACGACAGTAAATTCGCTACTCAACTCACCTAAGAACTAGCAAATCTCAAGCATGCAAAGCATCAAACAACATATATACAACTCTAATAACTCATTCAACAAGAAATACAACATGCAACCAGAGATCACCATAAATCATCAACTTTTCTCAATACATTCAAAAATGCCAAAACTTAACAAACGTAATCATTCAATTTGAATCCAACCAAAAAAATAACACTTCATCCATGCATAACAACTAACACTTAACAACAATTTCAATTCTAACTCTCCTTACCTCAAAAACCTCTAAGGCAAGAGGAAGAGGAGAAAAAAGAAGAAGAAAACAACTTCGAATGACCATGGAATGACTTTGCATTTCCTCAACACTTCTAGTTCATGGCTCTACAAACCTATATCCACAACAACACAACAAGAATGAGGTTCCGGTGAAGACTTACTCTCATAAGAGAAGGTTTGGAGATGAAGAGAACTTATAGTCTTCATAGTGTATCTATCTAATTCATCTTTCTATAAGATTTCTAAAGAAAAGAATTTATGAAGCTTAATTCTAAACAAAAACCTTATATATCATTCCCTCAAATCAAACTAAACCTCTATTTAGAAAAATCCTCAACTACTAAATGACCCAACACAAAATTCAACACAATTAACAACAATTAAAATAAAACATACACTATTACAAGTATAAATTATATTTCATAACTATTTTTTGTAATAATTTTAAAACGTTTAAAAAGTAAAGCATTTT